CCCAACCACCCTCAGCTTTCAGCTCACCCTCTAAACCAAGTAAGTCCACCACTCTCTTCTCTCTCCCTACACCCCCCACACCCCCATCTCGCAATGATGAACACAATACAAATCACAAGTTTCAAGACGGATCGGAGAAGGTTTCACGGCCTTTATTGAATGAGTATTTCCTGTCTGAATGAGAGATCACACATACACGTCATGTCGCTTCATTATGTTTGGGGCAAGTTGCTGACGTACATCATAGATTTCAAGCCGCAGCGCGAAGCAAGTAGTAGTTCATAGTCATGCCTTTTAATGCCAGCATATTTTTCAATGCGGACGTCGTCTCTGTATAATCTGTGACGAAACGTGAAGAAAGGAGTGAGATCATAAGAACCATGATATATTACCAGAACGCCGACGTCGTGTTATCATTATTGTGTTCCACCAAGGACATGGAGCGTTCTACAATAAGACGGATCATGTTGTTATTCGAGACATTTCATCTACCGTTTTCAACACTTAACATCGCACACCATTGCGCTCAAGAAAAGCGAGCCGAGTATTTGATCAAGCGAATCAAACAATCATGTTAACTTTGTTGATTCATTCCATGATACAGTTACATACAAGCCCAGAAAAGCAGACGAACGATACCGAAGTAAAACCAGAGCCTCAAAAAAAGGAAATGAGAGTGCGAAATCCATCCCTTATGAGCGCCTGCCACCGATGAATACATATCCCTTTTTCCATTCCACCCAGAGTATCCATTTTCCATGGTCGTTTCATTGTTATCCTTTGCGTCGCCAATCCGTGACTATATGCATTTTGAACCTGTGAGGAGACTTTCGTATCGTTGTTGCGCATCTAGTCTTCCGCCATTGATGCGGTGTTCTTGGTGGTCCTGCCGCTGCGGCGTGGTGTGCCGTCGGCAGTGGCAGCCTTCTTGGGTGCCTTCTTCTTTGCGGGTTCCTTCTTCTCCTTTTTGGCACGGCCGCCCTTCTTGGGGGTAGGCTTTGTCTCGGGTTCGTCCTTGTCCTCGGCTTCATCGTCGTCAGCCTCGTCGGTCTTTGCCTTCTTCTCGGCGGGCTTCTCATCGGCGTCAGCGTCGGCACCGTTGGTCTTGTCCGCGGCTACCTCGTCAGCCTTGCGCTTGTCGCCGGCCTGGGGTTCCTCGTCCTTTTCGTCGGACTTGTCTTCTGTCGCGTCGTCCTTGGCCTCTTCTTTTGACTCTTCCTTCGAATCCTCCTTGGGCTCTTCAGCCTTGGACTCGCCGTTGGTTTGGGCTTCTTCCTTCTTCTCCTCACTGTCAGGCGCGTCCTTCATCTCCTCGTCCTTCTTCTCGGCTTCAGAGGTCTTCTCGTCCTCCTTCTTATCTGAGTCAGCCGACTTGTCGTCATCCTTCTTCTCCGACTCTGCCGACTTGTCCTCTTCCTTGGAGTCGCCGTTAGCGCCCTCGGCCTTCTCGTCGATCTGGAGTTCGGAAGCGCGCTTCACGACATCGTTGCCAGAGCGCTCGACGTGCACAGCGGGGTTGTCGGGCGAGGCGTTCTTCTTGATGGTGTTGCCTTTCTTGGATTCAATGGCAATCTCGCCTTGGTCCTTGACCTCGGCAGCGGTGCCACCGGGCTGTCCGGAGCCCCAGTTCCATGAGACTGCCCAAACGTTAGCAGTGAGTTCCTGAGACTGATGCGATTATACCGATCGCGGCAAGGAAGACGCGCGCGGATGGGCAATCGATACGCGCCACTGAGCGCAATGCGCCTGGCGGAACCTCGCGATGCGCAGCCACTGAACGGCTGAAGGGGTCTCGAATTGAGAATTGAGAGGCACGTACCCTTATCTCCTTGCTGAATCTCAGTGTCGGTCATTGTGTGTAACGTAGCTTAGCCGTGGCAGGTGGTAAGAGATGACGTTATGGTGCGCAAAACCGCGTGTAAAGTCGCGAAAGCGGGGCGGAACAGCAATTGACGCGCGTAAAGGTGCAATGGATGCGTTGATGCGTAGAAATGATGCGCAAGTAGTGGGAAGAGACGCGACGGGCGGTGTAGAAGAGGAAAGAAGAATGGAAGCCGGGAACCTGAGTGCTGGGAAAGAGCTCTCGAAGATCGGAAGCTGCGGTGCTGAGGCGTGATTGGCTGCCCTGACCCACAAACGCCAATCTGTGCAATCTATGGGGAAGGTGGCTGGCGATCGAGCCACGGCGTCATCGGCTGGTCTGTGCACGTTCTCGAAATACATCCTTGTCGATCGCTTCCTTCACGGCATGGCATTCTAAATAGGGTCTCGACAAGGGCTGGACTACGCCTTTGAAGCGGTCATTGAAGGTGGTAAGCATTTTAGTTGACTGCGCTTTGCTATACCATCGTGTATTCATGTCCAAATTTTGCCTCCAATACCATCTATCACCTTGTCCATCCCGTGCGTATGTGCGTAATCAAACGCCGTAACCAAAGCCACGAGATGACTAGCTGCCGCAAGAACAACCAAGACGTGAAAGATCTGATGGCTTGAGCCCCAGATATCGTACCTCCCAGGGCTCCACTTCTCGGGGACCCTCGCAGCATAGATAGCCGCGCCAGCAATATACAGCGCGCCCTGTAAGAGGACCCAATCCAAGCCAATGCTCTTGCGCAGATGTTCCACACCGTACAGTTGAACGCCATGAAGTACAGGGAAGACAGCGGAAAGTCCCATGAGCACGAACATGAGCGCTCGGAAGGGTCGCAATGCCGGAGTGCGGAACTTGGGGTGTGTTGCTGCAACAGATGTGCCAGCTGCCAGCGTCGTGATCATCGTCCAGTATGTTTTTCGCAGTTCTGGTTCGCTGGCAAAGGCGTAGTATACGATGGGTACGAAGCTTCCCCAAATCAAGAAGACGATTCCCAGATAGTCGAGTTTGTTTCCCCAAACAGCGACTTCGTGTGAATGGTTCTGTATCGTATGATATGTCGCGCTCATGCCCAGGCATGCTACAGCTCCTGCAAAGTAGCAGCTGAAGGCCCAGACGTCTTCTTGAGTAGCTGTATCATAGCGAGGGGCCAATGTGTTGTAGAGTGCGACGGAGGAGACGGCAGCCATCACAGCTCCGATGAGGTGGGTGTAGATGTTGACGGTTTCGTTGTGTAGATATCCGAGGCTCTTCCAGGACTTGACAAATGAGTTGGATTGAGCGCGGTATCCTGATTGGATGTAGTGATTGTCTTGCTGCCATGGCGAGAGTTCGTCCCACAATAGTATCAACTTTTCTTCAACCTTTTGCTCCAGCTCTTTCCCGGTTTGCGCGGCTTTTGAAGTTGCTTCCTTGGCTGCTTCCATTTTGGAATTAATCGATAAATCTACTTCGATTGAGGACTGAAATGGAGGGAACCGGAATATATGAGAATTCGCTGGGAGTTCACATGTCACGAAGCGGCCTCGGAGAATGCGCGAATGGCTTCAGGGACTACATGCGAGCTAGGTAGACTATGCCGCGTTGGGTGAGGCTTGCGAGGACAACACGTCGCTTCAGACGCAAAGCAATGACTGTAACCGCTCAGTCGCTCCTTATGGGCAATATCGTCAATGTCCAGGTGGTCTCGCTGTTGTCACGAGACAGGGCATGCCCGACGCGTCGAGCTCGGGCACTGCCCCTCCATCCCACCTTCCTCGCCTCCAACGCGATTGCATTCACTACCGCACACCATGTGTCGTAAATACGCTAGATGATATACAGCCATGGTTTTTAGAGTCTTTGACATAACTTGACCTCCTGCGCTCCACACCAGAACGCCCGACCCCACCACCAGCGCAATGAAGTCCTCAGACCCAGGCCGACCCAGCAGCCGTCGCGCCGCCTCAGGTGCCTGGAACCGCCTCAAGCCAGTCCGCGAAGATGTCCTGGAGACATACGGACTCCCTTCCAAAGGAGAGACACGGTAGATATCTCTTCTCTCATACGTCCGCTCACAATGGCTAACCCCCCAGGCTGAACGACTTCAAAACACAAGAAATCTACTTCAACCGCATAATAGAACGCTACATGAAACTCTGCGCCCTCAACCGCGACGAACTAGACCGCCTCTTCATCTCCGTCAGTATCCCGCCTCCCGACACGACCACCACGACCAAGTCAACGACAGCGCCAACCACCAATTCCAAACTCACATCCTCCTTCTCCTCGCTCTCCCTCTCCAAACACGCACCACCAGAAGCCCGTCAACAACCCACCACCCGTCCACCCCTCGCCTCAACATCCACAAACACACCACACCACCAACCCATACCGCAAAAAGCCTTCACGCCCTCCATCCAAGAACTCTCCACCGTCCTCGCCTCCCTGCGCAAGCTACGAGAAGCCATAACCGCGTCCTCCCGCACCGACGCCTTCGCCCTACGCGCTTACACCTTCGCCATCCACGTCAGCATCCTCTGCCACGACTGGTCGTCCTACCTCCCCTCTCTGCTCTCCCTCCTCGGGAAAATCCATCCCGTAAACCCCTTATCCCCATCCACCCTCCATGAAGTCGTCGGCCTATTGATCCTCGACCAAGCGTGTCGGCAATCCGATTACTCCGGCGCGCGCGCCACGAAACTACGGTATGGATACAAAGATTGGAGGGTGGAGAAGGTGTTGCGGTGTCTAGTCGCGGATGACTATGTGGGGTTTTGGCGGGTGAGGAGGAGTGTGGATGGGTATCAGAGGAGGGTTATGGAGTGGGCGGATGGAGGGGTTAGGGTGCATGCGTTGAAGTGTTTGGGTAGAGCGTATTTGAGTGCGGATAGGACGTTTGTGGAGAGGTGTGCGGAGAGGAGCTGGGAGGAGTTGGTGCAGGAGGGTGTGGGGTGGGAGTTGAGTGCGGATGGGGAGAGGGTTTTGATTAAGAAGATGAAGGGATGAGGGGGACTTGAGAGAATTGTGTGAGATTTGATACCCGGTTGTATTGCATGTGCCTTGGGACTGAAGCATAGATTGGTTGAATTTCAGGATGAAGCGTTGAACATTCAGGGTATCATTAAGACTTTTCTATCAGACCACATCACTCATCCTCCATCTCCTCGTCCTCATCTTCATCCTCTTCCTCCCCAGCATCAGCAGCATCCTGCCAAACATCATCATCCATGTCATACGCATCCAAAAGATCATCATCCATCTCCTCATCCTCTTCGCCTTCTCCCTCACCCTCCCCAGTCTCCCCCCTAGCAGCAGCCCTCTCCTTCCGCTTCTTCTCCACATTCTCCTTCTGAACACGTCTCCTCTCCTCCTTCTCCTTATTCCTCTGTGTCCACTTCTTCTCCAACTCCTGCTCCTCCTTCTTGCTCTTCTTGATGTACTCATGCCACATGATCTTGCCGCCGCAGACATCTTCTTCGACTTTTGTGAGGCGCAGCTTCATGCGCGGGCCCAGTTCAACGAGCTTGACGGCGCGCTTCTCGACGCGGGGTTTTGAGCCGCGGGCGCGGGCGTGCGAGGTTTCGTCGCCGGCTTTTAGCTTTTCTTTTTCTTTGCGGGAGAGGACTTTTTGGCGGACGGGTTGCGCGACTTCGACTTCGGCGTCGGTGTCTTGTTCCGTGTCCGAGGCGGATGTGTAGCCGGCGGCTGAGGGGTCGAGCATGTAGTCTGCGACGTCCTGGAGGTGAATTAGTGGATATTCTAAATGCATTTCGGGAAGTTACTGCTTACCTCGAGCTTGCCCAGGTTGGGAAGTGCGCTCTTCTTCTTCTCTTTGCTGCCAATGAGCTTCTCAGCTGCGTATAACCGGCGGATGGCTTTCGGTACGCCTGTGACCTTCGTTGTGATTGCGTAATGTCGCAGGCTGATTGTAACAGAGCCATTCTCCTCTGAGGGAGGCTCACGGTTGAGCAGGAGGACGCGCTTGATCGAGTGTAGAGGGGTAGTGTGTGGTTGGATGGGCGGGAACAAGCCCTGGAACATGTCTGTCACAAGCTTCTCGAGATGCTTAGGAGGTGCCTTGTCGCCGAGTCGTTCTCTTTCCGCATCGCTGGTAAGGAAGTTGTTCATCACCAGCAGAGGCGCAACTAGGAAGTCGTTTGCGCCAGCCCGTGGGCGTCTCATTGACTTGAGAATGTCTTTGCAGAGACTGTAGTTTTCGACTCGGAAATGGAGGGTAGGTCCGCGGGGGACGCGGCATAGTCTGAGGTTGACGTTTCCGACTTCTGAGCGGGAGAAGAGGAGAAGATGGCTGACACCGAGCGGTCCGCACATGACAAGGAAGTCCTTTGAGGCTGTTAGCCCAGATCATGCCGGTAAATATATATGCCATACCTTGAGCTTATTCGCCCTTCGCTCCTTCAGCCGAATAGCGGTATCGGGCTCCAGGCAGTGGCGCACATCGTTTACGAGATCTGACACAGATCTTCCTACTCTAGATGTTGTTAGCAGATGAGTCGGATGTTACTCGAGTTGACCACACTCACTCCTGCGCGCCAATACGAATGACCATAGATTTGGGCGTTCCTGCTATCGGCTTCTTGGAAAGCTCCTTATCGCGTACCGACTGCTTCTTCCTCGCGGTTCCTTTTCCACGAGCCATTGCGAAAACTCAGTTGTGTCTGACCAAGTTGAAGTATTGACGGGTATTGCAGATGACTAAGCGTATAATTCGTGCGCTGCGATCGTGATCTCTACTCGAGTAAGCCAGAGGAGGGCGTTGTGGTGTTGTTGAGTGAACGAGTTCGTCGCATGCAGTCGCAAACTAGAGCTGCGGCTTTCGAACTTTTAGGTGGGTCCGCCAAGATTTCGCGGTTTCTTTGGTTGGGAACCGCGGTACCATGATTCTGTCGCACAACTTTTCCAGATTCGACAATCCCAACAACATCATGCCTGGAGTCACGAAAAGAAAGCTTCACGCAGACGCGGCCACCGCCGCTGGTGCGTCGTCGAAGAAGGTGCGACCATCGAATGCACCTGCGAAGAAAGTCCAGAAGAAGCCTGCACCACCACCAGAATCCGAGTCCGGCGATGACGATGACGCCGAAGAGAGAGACTCCACGGATGCCGAAGAAGCACAAGATGTAGTAGACGACAGCAGTTCAAAAGACGAAGCAGGGCCCTCTACCGCCGCCGACGCAACGAGCGAAGAAGCGCAACCCGCCGCGAACGAACCGAAGAAGACCTTCGCCGATCTAGGCGTGCGCGAAGAGCTCTGCGATGCAGTCGAAAACTTGAAATACGTACACCCGACGCCTATCCAGGAACAAGCTATACCTCTGGCCCTTCAGGGTAGGGATGTTATCGGATTGGCCGAGACGGGTTCTGGAAAGACGGCGGCATTCGTCCTACCTATCCTTCAGTCGCTACTGGAGAAGCCACAGCCGCTGTTTGGTCTGATTCTGGCCCCAACACGAGAGTTGGCCTATCAAATCGCACAACAGGTGGATGCTCTGGGTAGCATTATCAACGTCAAGTGCGCGACGTTGGTAGGAGGAATGGATATGGTACCACAGGCCATCTCGCTGTCCAAGAAACCGCACGTCGTAGTAGCGACACCTGGACGCTTGCTTGACCGTGAGTCACGCACATATACGAACTATAGGTGACACCCATACTGACCACATCACGTAGATCTTGAAAATACGAAGGGCTTCAGTCTGAAGCATCTGAAGTACATGGTCCTCGACGAAGCCGATCGCCTGCTCGACCTCGATTTTGGCCCCGTGCTAGACAAGATCCTGAAGGTACTTCCCCGAGAAGGACGACACACATACCTATTCTCTGCGACCATGTCCTCCAAGGTCGAGAGTCTTCAACGCGCCGCCTTACAAAACCCAGTCCGTGTGAGCATCAGCAGCTCCTCGCACCAAGTCGTCTCGACCCTACTCCAGCGCTACATCTTCCTCCCATTCAAATGGAAGGACCTCTACCTCATCCATCTCCTCAACGACAACATTGGCCACCCCACCATCATCTTCACGCGCACAGTCAACGAAACACAACGTATCTCCATCCTGCTCCGCACCCTCGGCTTCGGCGCCATCCCACTACACGGCCAACTAGGCCAGTCCGCCCGTCTCGGTGCCCTCAACAAGTTCAAGTCAAAGAGCCGCGACATCCTCGTCGCCACCGACGTCGCAGCCCGTGGTCTCGATATCCCCGCCGTTGACCTCGTTGTCAACTTTGACCTGCCGAGCGATTCTCAGACATATGTCCATCGTGTTGGTCGTACGGCAAGAGCGGGAAAGTCGGGTAAGGCGGTATCGTTTGTTACACAGTACGATCTTGAGATCTGGCTAAGAATTGAGAACGCGCTTGGCAAGAAGATCCCTGAGGAGGCCATCAACAAGGATGAAGCGATGGTCTACGCCGAGCGCGTTGGAGATGCGCAAAGGATAGCTGTTCGTGAGATGAAAGACTACCACGAGCAAAGAGGTAGCAGGGGTGGACGCGGTGGACGAGGTGGATCGAGAGGAGGTCGTGGCGGAGGCAGGGGTAGAGGTCGTGATACGATGGACACGGAGGAGGGTTAGATGTGTTGTCCCTAGATACGGGCTGTCGGTTTTGGCGTTTTGATCTTTTCGCGTATACCCTACGAGTTGCTTGATCCCCGACCATGTCTTGGAGAAGATGGCACCCTTGGTCAGGACCGAAAAGTTTGTGCTGCTTGTGTTTTGGATGGGGTGGTGGGGAGGTTATGATGGATTATGCGAGCATCGAATATGATATATGAACACATCGCTTTATCTTGGAAAACTTTGATGGGCCTAGCGGGTAGTGTGGAGGGTATAAAAGGCGTCTTTCGAGCTCTCTTCTCTTGTCTTTCTTACATCCAAAACCTTTTCCTTACTTTCCAAAAATAAAGATCGAAATGACCATGGTTCCAAACCTTGTGGTCGGCTGATTATGTTCTCTTCCAAAACGCGTCGCACACTACCCTTATGGCGCTACTTGCTGCTCCCATAACTCCATCACTTTACATTTCCAAAGATATTCCACGTTCAACATCATACATATCATCCAAGCATCTCAAACGAGATTCACATGAGTACCATGAACCATCACTCATGCACCTTCGAAACCCCGCCACTGTGCATGGTATAAAAGGCACCTCGCAACCGACTCTTTTCTCTTCCTCCTACACTCCTAAATCTTCTCTCCTCTTTCGAAAAAGAGGATGATTCGGGTCATGACTTCAAAACCCGAGTCCCTCGCGCTATGTTCTCCGCAAAACCGAGCAAGACACCGACTATGACTCCGCCTGTCGGTACCTTCAGGCTCATACTTCACCATCAAAAGATTCTTTCGTTCTCCACATAGTATACGATATCCGAATGTTTGAGTTGAGACTTGCTGAAAAAGTAGAGAGAATCGAAGGATGCGACTTTGAAAGCTCGTGACTGTGGATGGCTATATAAGCTGTTCTGTCTCGTCCATGCTTTGTCGTTCCTCAATTCCAACATCTTCTCGATCAATTACCAAAATGAGGTGATCATCTGCTCATGTTTCCAAAATTGCTCGGGAAGAGAGCCATGTCTCCTTCAGGAAAGACGACGATCTTTCGCGCATGGCGCCGCCTCTCGGTGCGGTTTAGCTATCGATCTCGGCAATGTGTTTGTGGCTACAATCTGAAACAACACCCTTTCATACACCAAAAGCCTCCATTCCAGCTTCCATGTGTGGTGCAGCATACATCATAATCTTGCATCATGCACATCGCCCGTCAACAGTACAAATACATTCTGCAATTCCGTTTGTCGCACGAACTCAATCGCACGGGAAGAAGGTTGTGTAGCACAAACAAATCCCCCAAGCTCGGCAGAGCCATGAAAATCTCATGGTGAATTTTGGATAGTACTTTGAACACCACACATAAGGTTGAGAGCAAGAATTTTGTGCAGGATGAAATTTTTACACCGACGCCGAAGTCGCCCACATGCAGCTCAAATTCGCTGCTTTTAGTAGAGATCTCAAAACGTAGACTGGATCATGAATTCTCTACAGAGCAAATTTTGGAGCCCACATCGTTCTGTTCGGCGGCTTTTCCCGATCATGCGTGATGTTGTTGCGACTTTTTAGTGCGGTGGACTGATTGAGGTTTTTGGAATAAACGCGCGGAGTGCGGGAAAGCAGCCATGCTTGGCAGTGAATGGCCTTTTGGAAAAGAACAGAGACAACCATCATTTTCTCGACTTGATTATTTTAAACACTCAAACCTGAGTGTGTGGATAATGAAGTGGAAGAGGAAGAAAAGACTGAGGGGTATTTTAAATATACGTCGCCGCACTGGGTCGTGGCATGGCTGTGGTAACTTCAGTGAACGTGCCGAGAGACATGCCGAGCCCCTTAACGTTTTTGAAATCGAGCAACTTGCAGACGACAGAAGTCATGTCAAGCTTGTTCATTCTTTTGGAAAGACTATGCATTCGCATTTTCCACATGCTTCTAGGTTTTGAACATATAGAAGAGCGATGATTGTTTCAACGCTGACGGCGAGGAAGACGGAAGTAGAAGAAGAAGGTTAGGAACGGATGGCCATGCAAACGCGGTAGATAGTCTCGGAACTTTGCTGGCAGGGAACAAACATTTCAAGGTCTAGCTACTTTTTGGATCTTGTGAATGTTGATAAGACATTTTGAGATAGTAGATAGTTTCATACCGTTATGGTGCGCCGCATGTCTGACTGACTTGTTGTTCCCTCAGCCGCCAGCACAGCACACCTGGGCATCTACCAAGTCGTTGTTCGTTTTGATGAGTAAGACCGCCGCGGAGAACAGGAAACACATGGAGCGTCGCTTCTCGTGTTTTGGTATCCATGACTTCTCTTGTAGTTGGTTTTGGTAATCGGAGGTTTTGAGTAGATGATGGAAAGAATTGTTTGTCTCGATGAAGCTCTGAAATAGCCGGAAAAGAGATTGGAAATCTGCACATGCCCCAAACAATGTAACCTTTTGGAGAGAAGCGCAGGAATTCCATGCGGGACTTGATGGTTCGTTTTGGGATCCTTATGCAAAAGAGTGGATGATGAGGGGAAGGAAGCCGGGTGACTGGGCGAACTTTTATATCTGGCCCGGCGCTACAGTGCGAGAAATCTGGTCCATCCGCCGAGACACATGCAACAGTTTGACGCGTCTTTCTGAGTGAGTGAAGCGTTTTAATGCCAAAAAACATGATGTACGCGATCTGTTGTTTTCGAGAAGCCTATGCACTCGCATGGGTGAACTTCCATGAAGTTTTAGATAGTTGGAAGAAAATCGGATTTGTCGACGCGCGCACCGAGGGAGATGGAAGTAACGTTTGGCAGCGGCAAAGGGGCAAGACCACGCGAGGATTAGCGTGGGGTTTTGGAGACTTTGGAAGTTAGGATTGCCACATGTGTCGGGATGTTAGAGTTTTGACTGTGCGAAGAGTGACGTCGAAATTGTGACCTAGGTTTTTGGTTTCCATGCTTTTGTCCTGGAAGTCCGACGCCGCGAATATTGACTGCGAAGAATGGATGTTGGAAAGAATGAGTCCTCGGCGGGGCACAACAGCCACATGGCCTTGAAGGTTCAGTATTTTTGCACCCATGACCTTTTGAGGTTTGATTTTGGGAAATGGTGTAATTGAGTAGATGATAGAAGGAACATACAATCCATATCAACGACACTTATATACCCCTTCCCCCTCCTAGATCGGCGTACCCGCAGTACCCTTCTCCATCTCCTCACAAAGCTTACCCAATTCCTCAATCACAACTTGATGGTCATCCCACTGCTTCAACCCACTCACCACGACCACCGCAACCGGCCCATCACAGTTCTTGATGTAAATCGGCACGCCACCACCATGGATCGCGTAATCTTTCGCCGTCTCGCCGAGCCCCATCTTGGCCTTGAACTTCTCCTCATCGCCCTCAAATTGGTTCTGCAGACGCCATGTGCTTGCGTTGAAGCGGATGACGGCTGCGCGTTTGCGGCTGACCCAGAAGTCGTTGTCTAGGGCTGTGCCGGAATGGGTTACCTGCTTCATATCAGCAAAAGCAATTATACGCGTCGATCATGGTACTCACGGCATGGAAAAGCACATGACCTGGCGTGCTGATGGTAGAAATATCTACAACAGCCGGTCGCTCAAAGGTAAGCAGGCGCGTACGGAGGTTGTAACCGAGCTTGAATGCGATGCCGGAATCCCAGTGTGGCAGCAGAGCGGCCTTTTCTTGCTTCTTGATGGCTTCGACATCGCGGGGTGCTTCTGAGAGGCCCACGTGTTGCGGGATCTGGATATCGTCTGTCGCCATCTTGAGAGTTTTTTTGTTGCGGTGGTTAAAGTGGTGTAGATGTGCGATCAAGGTACGTGGTAGCAGGCGTCAAGTAATTCCTTTTCTGCTCGCAAAATAGTGGCTGATGCAGAAGGATATATCTCCGACAACGTGTTGAGATGCCATGGCCAAAATCTAGATCGCCGATGTCATCCGTTGGCAGAGCTTTTCATAAATGTGGCTCTGCCGGCAGGCGGAGGCTCCGCATTGTTGCGCTAATTCCCCGCCATCATCGATCTTCCGCAGAGCCGCGTCGGGTCGCGCTCCTACTTTCTCGACACGCTCAGCTTCCGACGCGTTTTCACGCGTGATATATGTCGCAGCGACCTAGGCATGTCTTTTAAGGGCCCCAGAGTGATGCGGCGCGAGAAGTACACGTGTTCACTTGCTTCGGAGGGCACGATGCCGGCCCTGCCTTCCTTACGGCAACCTCTATCGGGCTCACGACAGCCTTCAGCCTATATTATCAGCGTGGAGCCATTCATCGAGAGACCTAACAACTCGCGACACATGTGCGACGCGTGTAATAGGCTATGGCTACGCGGCACGAAGTACGAGAAAGAGAAGGAGAGAACATTGCGATTTCTAAGACTATCGCAAACACTCACGTCATCATTGCAGCCCCCATACATGGAGTTGAAACAACACTCAGGTTCCAACAGGTTCTGCCTTCGCGAGACGCTGATACTATTCATGTGCGTTACCTGACATGTGTCGCTGACATCAGCGAACGCAAATACCTGATACTGGACGGCGAGGCGAACATACGCCTAAGCGACATCGCTATGCAGATCGTTTGTCTATCTCGTCGAATTCACATGATCTGGACAATATGGCTTCAAGATGCGGGACCTCTCTTTAACCCGTTGAGCATGGCTCACGTTGATCGAGACGGAACTTGTTCAACACAAAATTATCGTTCAGTCGTCCTATGCAGCTGCCATACGAATTCCCGTGCCGTAGAACCGGTACGTTGTTCTGATCCAAAGATAAAGTACATCGAATGTGCCTTACGCCGCTCGGCCTCAAAACAGGCTGGCAATTTTAGACCTGAGGGAGGCGTCAGGCATCCGAACAGTACTGTTTCCTCGTCGGCATGGAGTCATTCCGTCTGTTATTGTGGGCTGGTCAAGGTGAGTGGTCTATTTCTGTTCATGTGTTTGAATATATGAAGAAGGCATGACGCTCCAAAAGCGAGACCATACACGCACATTCAGCAACGACTACACTCATACCATCTTGTACACATTACGATTTTCGCATCCACCAGAATACTGCTTCTTCGATTGGCTGTTCGCGGCAATTGAGCACCTCTTTATCCGATTCGCTGTGAACTTCCCCGCTTCGCCAAGGCTCCCGACATGGTTCACATCTCGCGCGTTGTTCTGGGAGCAATCGCAGTCTTCCTCACACACATCACTGTTGGAGCGGTTACAACTGGGCCTGCCGTCTCCCTCCATCACAGGATGGCTATCAATGACGAAGTGGGAACTGGATCAACCAGCCCCATTGATTCGGCCAACCCCGTGGTGAAATCATCATGCGCCACCTCAGACAACAAGGGAACCAAGAGAGATACATGCCATCCGGATTCAAATGACGCCTCTCCAGCAGAGACCGTGGAGACTACGAAGCGCGTCAAGAGAGAGGAAGATATTCCCAGAGCCTATCTCCTCAGCACCATTGACGGCATCAACAGAGCCCAATACGAAGAGTGGGCCAAGAAGCCGCCGCTTGGTGACAAGGAAGGCGACATAATCGCTTTCGATGAACTCGACTGGGTTTCTTGCCAATATCTGAATCTTACTGACGCCGAGGCCGCTATTGTCCGCCAGGATCCTATCATAAGATTCATCGAGCGAATTACTGAAGACGATGGTGAGCTGCGCGTCATCCCTCCGCAGGAAGATTCGAGTTCACTACTTCCAAGTTCACTCCATGTCAAAGCTCAGGCACTCAACCAGAGGGATGAGAGTGCAGCTCATCTCAAGTTGCTATCAGCCAGGAACCAGAGAAATGACCCCACACAGCTACCGAACTATGTGTTCGAGCCTTCACTCGGAAAAGGTCAAACGATCTACGTCCTCGATAGTGGTTATCGTAAGAGCCACCAAGAATTCGATGCTTCGGAGCGCGAGGTTCGAGACTTTACTGTTGCCAACCGATACACATTCGCTGGTATTGACCTCACGGACGATCAAAAAGGCCTAGAGGATATGACAGATGTCACTGGTCACGGCACTCAGGTTGCAAGTATTGCGGCTGGATACGTCAGTGGCGTGGCTTCGAAAGCAAATCTTGTCGTTGTGAAGATGGTAAACTGGGCCAAAAACCCTAGGAAACCTGACCAACCTGATCTTATACCACGCGGCGTCACGGACTCAGCGCTAGAGTATGCCTTCGCATGGACGTTGAAGGACATTGGGCAACAACGGCTTAAAAATCCCGACCCTAACGCAAGGTATATCATCAACCTATCCTATGGTAAGTGTCGCCTTCCACGGACTTCATCCTAGACCACGCTAACAACAGTTGAGGCTGGACCAAAGAACTACATCCTGGTAAGATTGCGGTATTGGAGCTGGTACTTCAGAAGTGCAAGGACCAAGACGTCACCCTTGTTGTTGCTGCAGGTAATGATGGGAGAATTCGCACTCTGGATGCCATCATACCGCAAGCCTTTGGCACCGATGACAGATTCAGCATGATAACCGTGGGCGGCGTGGACAATGCTGGTAAATACTATGCGAAAACGATTCAAGGAACCGGCCAAGGTGGCCAGGTCGACATTTACGCAGGCGCAGTCGGCGTCGTTGCTGCAAAGCATGATGAAGCAGATGACTCCACCGTTACGGACGACGGAACATCCCTCGCAGCCCCAGCGATTGTGAGTATCCGTCATCACCTTCAGTTCAGCAGAACATGCTAACGGTGACAGGCCGGACTTGCTGCATACTATTTCAGTATCCCTGCATTAAACAGCAACTGGAACGACGGCAGCGTACCAGCAGACATGAAGAAATTCATTCTGGACCATGCGGAAATCAGGAACAATGACCCTTTCAATGAAGGCGACACGTATCCCGTATCGCCGAAGCCCGAAAAGGAGAGCCTCAAAGTGCCATACAACCTGGCCCAGAATACGTACGGTATCTTCCTTGCACCAGATCAACACGAACTAACTCGGCCACAGACTTTGCGACCTCCCCGATGCGGCAGCCAAGCGCTCCCTCTTCGCCAAGAGAGCTCCAACACCCGAGAAGTCGGTTCCAGGCCGCCCGATCGTCGAGAACGGCGAGGTCACGAACGAAGATCTGAAGAACGTCCGTCACCTCCTATACATCCCGACGTAGATCATGGACTGACAACATCACAGGAAATCTGCAACGTCCACAACCGTCCCACCCCAGACACCGAGCCCGAGCCAGCACCAGAAGCACCAGCACCACGCCCCAACACGGCGGCCTGCAAGGTTCTCCAAACGGGCTTCGGCGGGTCCTTCGAGGTCACAGGATCTGGTTGGGGCGACGAAGCTTCGCTCAAGGGGAAGTTCGGCGATCGTGCGTTCAAATATACGGGCGGGGATTCTTTCACTGCTACATTTGAGAGTGGTCTGAGTGTGGGTGAAGTAGAGACTGCTGTGAGGGAGATGTCCGGGCTTGGCGACGTTACTTGTACTTAGAAGATGATGAAGATGGAAGTATGGCGCATATGAGGGTTTGCTTCTGCTGGCGTAGGAGGCGTTTGGGACATGGGCTGCGCTTCTGCATGCATGGTTGGGAACGATGTTTCATCAGGAAATGCTATCACTGTCTGCAGCCCTATCGAATACACACGGGCTCTTCTCTCATATACTGGTTTGGATTCGTGACTTGGCGACATGGTTGTGTGAATACCAACTTTTGGAACAAGGAAGCACATCAGATCCCACACACTGACTTTCGACATTGAGTAACAGAGAATGCATCGGCGCAATTCTCAGAGACATATCCGTCTCCCAGTCGTATGTATGTATAACCGCCCCAGGTCTCCGGAGTCCATGGTCTGGAGGAGTGAGAAGGAAGCGGCAGACATTTGTACAGTTTAGGAGGATAAGCGCACGTCTCACGTGGCGACAGAGCATCCATCTTTTTGGATGTCGCGCGGGCATAGGCTTTCGATGATGGTATTCAAGCTTTGTAAATTTTATGGAAATGGTCGACTGAAGTCGTGAAGAAAAGGGCAAAGCCGAACGATTAGAAGCTTTTATATTGCGCATCGGTATCATGCGCTTATCATGAGACAGTTTTGAAACATCTCAAAGTTCATCCCGCATGTAAAAGTACGGTAGTTGTTTCTTGACCGCTGCGAAGTCATTCGTATGAATGGATGTATGTTTCGTGCTGTGTAGTGCGAGCCACAAGTGGCCGAAAGACATCGCCTTGGATAGCGCTTGATTTTAGAGAACTGCGAATGCGTATTGTCGAGGGAAGAAGACAGGGGAGAGAAAGGGTGGCGTTTTATACCGAACGTCAGCCCACGAACGCTGGAAGGTAACCTGGCAAGTCGAACGAGCCTGCCGCCATGTAGTGTTATCGTGTGCATTTTGATGTACTCGGCCCAGAACCATGTTACGTTCGGCTCTATTTTTCGATGATGGATGTATTTGGAAACGCCTGGCAGGCAGGATGCCGACATATGGCGGCTCGTACTCGATCTTTAGGAAACCATAATGATATGCGTATTTATTGGGGCAGATGGTAGCCAGACAGCAGAAGCTTTTATAGTCAAAAGGCACCAGTCTTCAAGGAACATTGTTCGATATTCAGTCGCTTTTTGTACAAATGTAGCTGGCATATCCGATCTTGCAAGCGGGACTCGAGCAGATGAAGAGACAGGAAGACATGGTCAGTTTGAGTGTGGCTTTCGGTAGCATGAACGGCGAAGGGAGGCGCACCACTCGTCATCCTGGTCATCTATGATGTTTTTGGTATGCAGGATAGCGCAAAGTGAAGTTAGTAGATAGGACACTCAGCGGCAGAAGATCTGCTTTTATACCAGCACCAACGCCCGGACTTTCCGCGCCCTCGTTTGCCGGCATATACCGGTGACGTCAGATACCTTGTCTTCGGGTCACGCCTTGCGCATCTTTTGCATCGCAGACGCATCAACACCACGCGTCTTCATTTCGCGCATCGCGTTCTTATCCCATCCTTTCGAGCGACGGAAGATTCGGACTGTTCGGTAATTGCTGCCCCGATAGCCGAGTGCGGGTTGACCCTGGACGATGCGGGGACTCCGCGTCGGCGTCATTCCTTGATGCTATTTCCGCAACTTCTAACGTGTTTGAACTGCGGAGATGAGACTAGCCTGCTGATGGCGTTGCTAAACCCCTTGCGACAAATTGGAGAGATGATATCTTCCGGTGGCGTTGTGGAAGTGTCGGTATAAGTACTGAGCGCTTGGCGCAACACTCGCGATCGTGCGAAGTAAACGCCAGCCAGTATCTCGACCATATCAAATCAGCTGCTCAGTTGTTTTGAGTATTTCTTTCCGGTATGAAGTTCCAAACATCATTACCATATCTTCTGGGCTTCGGCACTGCGGCCTCGGCGCTACCCCAAAGCCTTTCCGAGAGACATGCAGGCGCATCTACGAGAGCAGCTGTACCAACAATTTGGATCGCAGGCGACTCCACAACCGCGCCAGATGGCGGCCACAACGGCACAGAAGGCTGGGGTCAATATCTCCAGTACTCATTCGGCACCAACGCCAAAGTGAACAACTCCGCTTATGCCGGACGATCCGCGCGTTCGGTGCGTACCCTCTTCTTCTTCTCCTACAGCTCAAATCAAAGGGAGAAGACAGGCTAATCCCTAACTAATACAGTTCACACGCGAAGGCCGCTTCGATAGAATAGCCAAAGCCCTCCAACCGGGCGACTGGGTCATAATCGAGTTCGGCATCAATGACGCCGGCACGCTTACAAATGGGTCCACAAGCTCAACAGGAGACAAAGGCCGTCCTTCATGCCCTGGTGTGGGCGATGAGACGTGCGAAGTGACATTCAAGTAAGTCATTCAGCAGCCATACCCATCAACATTGACTAATATGTTCACCCGCGCAACAGCAACGCCACGGGAGTCGTCCACACATTCCCCTCCTACATCAAAACTGCCGCCTCCACTTTCCTCTCCCTCGGCGCCTCCGGCGTAGTAATCTCATCGCAACTTCCGACCAACGTCTGGGAATCTGGAAGTTATAGCTTCACTCCCGGAAGATTCGCTTATTACAATATGTATGTAACATCACCCGCCCAACCACATCAATGTTTACCATCTGCGATTTTGAGGAACAAAGAGCGAGCCTGACTGACATGCTGCATAGGCTATCGGCCCTCGAACTAGGCGGCCCGGCATCACATGTGTACTTCGTGCAGCATGGAAGTTACGCCGCGCAGGCGCAACGGCTATTGGGTAAAGAGGTGGTGGATAAGGAGTATCCGATGGATCATACGCATACGGCGCCGTTTTTGGCGGATGTGGTACGTTTCCGTCTCCGCCCGCCCATGGCGTTTTTCTCTTTCATTTTTCGAGCATCCGTCGCTTTCGTCCATTTTTTTTTTCTTATTTGAGAGAGTACTTGGCTAACAAGGAGAACAGCATAGCCAGGCTTTTGTACTGGGATTGAAGTGCGGAACTAGTCCGTTGGCCGGGTTGGTGGTCAATGCCACGGCGAGGATCGAAATGGAGAGGGGGAGTTGTTTGCCTGCTAATGCGACGTTGCCGATTTAGATTTCCGGCATGGTCTTAAATGTGTGGTTGACTCAAGCGAAAGACCTGCATATTTTGAATCGGTGATTTGGAAGGGATTCGGGAAGGCGAACGCGCAGTTCTCATCGTTTATGCCCTTTGGTTCTTCTCGCACTCCGCAAAAACATGCATGCGATGGCGAGATCATTCGGTGACACAGCGCATTACTGTATAGTAGGAATAATGGAGCGGGAGGAGCGAAAATGGTCATGCATTTGCCACCAGCTTCTTTGGAATTCAGTTCGCAATTTACGAAGTATGCGAGCTTCAGGATAGAAGTGGAAGTAGAGAGGTGTTCTCGCATATATTTTCCACAAATCAGAGGAAACAGGGCAAAACTTCTGAGAAAGTTTGAGAATGGCGAACGCACAGCTCTCATAGGTTGACTGAGGAGCTCTTTTGGACTTGGCAGAACATGTATACGGACGGGTGTGATTTCGGTATTGCAGCGCAAGATCACATCTTCTTAACTAACGAACGAGAGAGGCCGAAACAGCCATCGGCCGGGTTATCATCTTCTTAGACTTTAACATCTATGTTCCGGAGTGAGAAATCTAGGAGTAGAAGTTTGAGGGTAGTATTGTAGATGTTTTATAAGCAACTCTGCAAACCAGGAAACACTTGCTAAAGAAGTTTCGAGCAAGGTGAAGCGTGACCCCCATGCATTGCCGATTTCTCGTTTTGGACTTCGCAGAACATGATCAAGTTGTTCATTTTTTTTTTGGTGTGTTGAAAATATTGCTGCTGCGCATATGATGCTACACAGAAAAGGGACAAAAGCGAACATAGTCTTGAAGTCTTGGTATTTGGACTTCCTCTCCTACATTTGAAGTACGTGAATGTATAAAGAGAAGAAGAAACACGGTCTGGTGGGCACTTTATATTGAACGCCATACGCCAAGAGCTAGTTTCTGGGAAGATTGGAAACAAGCGAAGCGTAAAGCCCTCATGATGAATGTCTTAATGTAGTTTTAGACTCCGCAGAACATCGTCTGGGTTTGCGCGACTTTTTGGTTTTGAGAAAGATCGTATCTTTGCGGAGTTTTTGTAACGCGAGGAAGAAGCAGGAACGGCCACTTTGAGCCGACATCATGGTTTTGGAGGTCACTTCCCGAGTTTTGAAGTACGTGAAGGTAGGAGGTAATAAGGTGGGCGGTTCTGTGAACACTTTATATGCAATGTCAGATGCAGAGCAGTGCCTTAAAGAGCTTTTTAAATTGCGAACACACTGCTCTCATGCTCGAGTATGAGAGGCATTTTGATTCTGTACGCTCGGACATTGAGAGGTTCTAAGCGTATTTTGGTGACATCGCGCAATCGCTGTTACGGGACTTCCATCAACACGAGAGGAGAGCAGAGCACATAGGTTCATAATATCACCATTTTGAAGACCCAGGACTCATAGATTTAAGCTCAGTAATTTTGGGAGCAGAAAAGAGGAAGATAGTAAAAATGTTGTGTGAAACGTAGCGGAGGACTAGGTACGATTTTAGCAACACAAGAGGAGAGCGGAACGCCCATTTGTTTGTCTGAGGGTATTTTAGAAACCCCAGGAATCATGAACGGCGGCACAGGTGTTTTAAAGTAGACAAGAGGGACGTAATAACCATTTTTTGTGCGACATAGCGGCCAGATGACCAGTCATAATCTCGTGGACACGAGAGGAGAGCAGACCGCACATCGCTTCAGCCTCTTTGGACTTTGGAGAACCAGGAATCATGGCTGTGAGCATCTCGAATTTAGGGCCAGAAGAGAGGAATGCGGTAATTGTTTAAGATACACAGAAGAGAAGCACCATATGTAGGGAATGCGAGTATTTTCGAGGAAGACGAGCGCACGACTCCCATCAGGAAGTGTATGAACTGTTTGTTGTCGCACACACATGGGAAGGTCTCCGGGGACTTTAATTCGCACATATCGTATTGCGCAAGAACCTTTCATGGAAATCAAGACGAAAAGCCAGAAGCAAACATGAAGTCTTTGTCATTTACTTTTGGAACAGCTGACGATTTGTTTTGGAGTGTTGGAGAATACGAGGAAAGGTGCAGCGTAGTAGATATATTATGTAGAAGGCCAAGAGACTACGTGACGCTTGACAAGAGATTTAGAAAAGGCGACCGCACAGATCCCATCGCCATCGGCTCAAACAGTTTTGGGTTTGGCACAGACATGCGTAGATCTGCAACATGTTTTGGTGATACAGCAACGCGACAGTTACTGCAGTTTGAGGAACAGCAGAGAAGGCAGGGACAGACATTTGGTCTTGCTCGAAAACATTTTGGTATTTTGAGCTCACATTGTTGGAGTGAGAGAAGTAAAGAGAAGTGGAAGCGCGCCGTCGTGGAAGTTTTATACGGAAAGCCCGAGACATAGCACGTGGAACGGTTGTTTTTGGAGAAGGGAGCCATCCGCTCATGGATAGGTATACCGGTGATTTTGGGATTCGGACAAACATGGATTTGATGTAGATGTTTTCCGATGTTTTGGACAAACATGCAGTGATCGACGCCGGAATCTGCACACATGTGACGGACGGGTGATATTTTGCAGAAAGCGGAGGCAGAGACGGCCATGGACTGGTGCTATATACTTTTTGGTAAAATGAAGCCGCGGTTTGATGAAGAGAAACAGGATGAGGACAGAAGGAAGGGGAACTTTTATATGCACCGCCGAGCGCCAAAAGCATCATGTGGGATCGAGGCGACCTAGTCAAAAGAGTAAGTATCGCATATCACATGAACAAACTTGAAAGATCTTTTGATGATGACAAATTGGTATCATTACGCATTACTTTCTTTCTCAATCATCCATCCACCAGCTATCATACAACATCCTCATCTTCTCAACTAATTACATGGCTCATAGGCCTCATCCAATAACTTTACATGTTGACAATGCTACGGTAGCATCGGCACATTTAACTCCTCATCCCTCATTGCACAGACTTAACCAGCCTGGTACAGACCAAGAGCAACAACGTGAGGGTTGATCATGCTCAAGTTGAAGGGAGTCAAGAACGGGTTGGCATCAGTCAGCGCAACGAACATGGTACCGTTGACGGATGGGTCACCCTCGTAGACCTCAGCAGCGGGCTGGTATGTGAAACCAGTGTTCTCGCCGGTGACCTCAAGGGGCGTGTATGTCAAGTTCAGCTGGCTGACCCAGGCAACGTACGCGGGGGCGCCGGCACTGGTATCCGTGACGTAAGAGTTGTTGGGGCCGACAGCCTGACCGGGCTTCTCCCAGGTGAAGTTGATCTTCTTGCCGGGGAAGGACAGGGGTTCGCTGTGGTTGCGTGCGATGGCAGGGCCGCAGGAGTAGCCTGGGTGTTCAGTGCCGTTGATGTTGACGCAGGACTCATCGGCGGGGATGGTAGAGTCAGAGGGGTCAGCGATGCGGTCGCCAACTACCTCGTGGGGCTTGGTATCGTTGGGCGAGAAGCGGTTGGGGTTGGCCTGGTTGTCGATGAGCAACGTGGGGAAGTTTTGCCATGCGAGACGAGTTGTGTTCTCAGGGCACGAGCTGATGTAGGGTGCCAGGTAGGTCCATGCCCAAGACTGCGGGATACCGGTCTCGAACCATACGGGCTGGGGCGCAAGGCCGAGCATTTGGCGGAAAGACATCTGCTGGCGGGCCTCGGTGGCAATGGACTGGGAGAGGAGGGAGGCAACCTCGCGGGAGTCCAGGTGGGCGAGGAAGCCCCAGACGCCAGACTCGCCCCAGCGGGTGAGCTTCTGGTTGAAGTCGATGAACTCGCGGACGGTGCGGTAAGGGTAGTTGTAGGTGCACTGGGGAGGAGCAGTCTCGCCGAGCATGTTGGTCAAGAGGGTGGCGTGGCCACTCTCTTGCTGGGCCATGAAGGCAATGTAGGCGCGGTCCTCAGCAGTCAGACCAGCGTCGAGGAAATCCTCTGCGGAGAAGATGGCGAGACCGTTGTTGAACAGGTCGAGTTCGATCCATTCCTGGTAAAGACCCAGGGTGATGGACTCGTAGTCGAAGTCGCTGTTCACCATGTAGCGGGGCTCACTGCCGTTGGTACCGAGACCACCAGCGGGCGTATAGGGAATAGGCATGGGGTTCTGGGGCTTGCCATTGGTGTTGTAGTAGGTAGCAGTGGGGTTTGGGGGCATGGGGGCGATGGCAGTGCCGATGGTAGTAGGCGCCTTAGCAGCTCCAGTGGTAGTGGGAGTGCCATCGAATGGGCCATGGCTGGTTGCGCCAGTGACATCTGAACTCCTTCGGGGAGGAGCTGAGCCAGGTGCGGTGGGTATGGCAGCAACCTGAGAGTCAGGACCGAAAACCGAAGCGGGTGTGGCAGCTGGCGTGAAGGTAACGGAGAAGCTGGCATCCGCGTTGGTGTAGCCTGGGACATCTTCAGTCGGCTTAGCAGCGCTGTAGCCGTCCTGGGGCGCAGGAGCGGCAGCAGCGAAAGCTGCGAGGACCGAAGTGGTGAAGAGGCTCTTGGTCAACATCTTGAAGTCGATTGTCGGGTCGAGGTGTTGTGCGGCTGGGACAATGGACGGCGTCTGTAATGGTTATATACGCGCATCGCGCATCAGTGACCGCATCGCGTCAACGCTACTTCCTACTGATTTCACATCGATGACCACAAGCGTCGCCGCCGAAATAGGTTTAACACCTATGATTTCATGACTGAACGGATGCGGTAGTGCAAGCCGCGAATATCGAAAAGTCGGCCACGACATGGGAATCTCGGGATTGGCATCGGGAAGACATTTCGGACGAATCAGAAGATGCGCTGCTGAATCTTGCCTGCTCTGTGCTCCTCAATGCCTGCTGGAAAAACTGGGCGCTGCGTGAACGCGTGCGTACAGGGGGCGTGTTTTCCACGATTTGCCGCGTGCAGACAACGTGACGACGTGATGACATGGTGGAGCGTTTAAGTTTTGAGCCGCTAGTGCTCCCGCCCCGCAAGAGATCAACAACGATAATTAACAAAACCGGGTTCCTTCCAAGGCTTCGGCGATGTCGCCAGTGCTCTTTGGGGGTAGCTTAACGCTTAAGCATACACCCGGTCTACGTTTCTTGCTGAGAAATCTCGACCCGCGTACATCCAGATACTCGCCCCCGCGGAGCAACCAACCCAGCAATTCAAATCGCACTGGCACGGGAGCCCCAGGCTCGGGTAAACATCAAAAGCTGCAGGTACAGAAGCAGGCCCATCTCCGCTTGGCCGCTTACCGATGCGGCCATGTGAGCGGCGCTCCATGCATGCAGCAGCATGTAGATCGTAGATGTGGGAAAAAAGCTCTGGCCGCCAAAAAAAAATAAACGTGCATCTGCGATAATATGGACAAGGAAGATGGATGGGCATTACCGATGCAGCTTGCATGTCTACCCCTTACCTAAGCACATCGGAGGCGATGACGTTAGATCTGCGCAACGCGCGCCGATGTTTTGACGAACGGCGAACATCATGGGTGCCACGCGAGATGATTATTGGAGAGATGCGGGAAAACAACGCACCAAACAACGCACAGCGCACATGCAGTTTGTGGAGCGATGCAATTTGTGGAGCGATAAAACGTGCGAGCTGGGATGGGATGGCAATAGTGGAACTGGTATTATTTCGCTGTGATGATAGAATTATTTCGCGCGCGACATCGGACCCCAATTCTCCCTGGGCGCAAGCTGGTAGCGGACGTATTTGCCCCTGTCGTGATCCTTGCCGAGCTTCTCGTCAAAGTTGACCTCGAACTTGGTGTTGAGGTAAGCTGGCAGATCTTTTGCGGATGTCGTCGTCGCCGAACCATCGCCGCTGTTTTCTCCATTGCTTTGCGCTTCAGGCGCCGGATCGGCCGGTACTTGGGCAGGTGCTGTGTCGGCAGTTGACGTTTTTGTGTACCCTGTTGCGTTGGACTTTGCAAGAATGGCGGCGCCTGGACTTCCTGCCTTGGGCAGGTTCTTCAGCGGCGCTCTTTGCCGCACCCATTCGAGCATAATGTGCCAGATGTCTTTCCACGATGCGTCGGTCTTGATGGAGCCAGGTTTGCAATGGCTCATCGTCACCCTAAATCCCGCATGTCGTAGCGCACCACGCATCGCCGCCAACGGCGGCGCTGAACAGTGAACTATCTTCGCTACCGAACTTGGGATGATGAAGAATGGGTGGTGGTCTACCTCTGCAGGATCGGACTTCGGAATGAGGGGATCTAGCACTTGAGTCTTTCCTCCGTTTGACTTGTCCAGCTTGGTGCCAAATGTGATCTCCTCCAATGCTGTATGCAGCATTCCTTCGATACGATCCGTTGTCGCGTACGTCTGCTTGTCAACTTCGTTTAGCTGCGCTAGTACTCTTTCGATAAAACCGACATTATGCAACGGCCCGCCGTACATTGGTCCTGACAGGTGGGTTTTGTGGCCGCAGTGCTCGCAGTGTTGGTCCGCGGAGGGCCCTTGTGCAAAGCCGTGCTTGTACATTGGGTCGCCGTTCTTGTTCTTCAGCACTTTGTTGCGAGCAAGGAACTGGGTAGTCCATGCACCGCAGCCGCTTTCGCAGTGGTAGACAAGCATGGTTTTGCCGGCGAGGAGCTTGACGTCTGTGGGCGCTTTGCGCACTCGTACGAATACTCGTATATAGTAGTCGATGGAGAGAGACAGTAGTGGCTCGATAGCCATGCCATATCGACCGGCCGAAGATGCGATGGCGTGTAGAACCAGGCGTAACCCGCCTTCATGGCAGGGCTCGCCCTTGAATGGCAGTCCACCGTACTGCGAGTAGGTCTTCTCGAGGTAGCCGTGTGACGCGAAGATGGCGGAGTCGGTGCACGTTACACAGAGTAATCCGTCATCGTTGATGGCTTGTATGGCCGCGTCGATGAAGGGAGCGGCAGTGCCGTATGGGTCAAGGTCAATGACGTCGTAGCCTTTCTTGTCGCAATAGCTGTACATGTAGGCTATGGCATTACCAGTCTTCGCTGTTACCGTCTCGTCGAGCTTATTGTGCTTCACGTTGAGCTTTATGGAGTCGACAGCATTCTGTGACATGTCGTTTGCTGTAACGGCGGTTGCAAATGGGACCTCTTTCGCGAAACGTAGGGCACGGAGACCGGTCGCGGATAGGGCATCGAGGATACGGAAGGAAGGTCTCCAGGGCGTCCGTCCTCCATTCGCACCAGTAGCGTCGTCCTGTTCATCTCCGCCTTCTTCTTCTTGCTCGGCGGCACCATATTTATCTAATGTCTTCTGCCTCTTTGGGTTGACCGCACCTTCTTCACCATTAGCCTCTACAAGCTTCCTCTTTTTAGACAGACTTTCATCTGTGGTAGGAGCCTCAGTCTCACCATTCCCACGATTGGTAGTATCTCCCGCCGCCCGTTCCGCTTGTATCCGCTGTCGCGTGCGTTCCCTCTTCTGTTTGAATTGCTCGTGCTTCTTCAGTTTCCGTTGTATTGAGTCCAGGCCGAACGTCTTGATCGCAAGTACAGTCAAATCGCGATTGAACTGCTGGATGGGATTGTAGAAGACTTGTTGCTTTGCATGTTCCTCTTTGGACAGCCTTGGGTCGGTGGACGTAGGGATGTCATGGGGGACGAGAATATGCGCGAGGCCTTCCTTGATGGTGGTGTATTCTTTGCCGTCGTGGCTGATATGTTGATCGGCTTGCGGGGTCGCATCAATAGTCTGCACAGTTGCGTCGGTCATGGGGACGTCGGAGGAAGCCATGGCGAGGGAGGTGTGGAACGCGCGTGGGAAAGAGCTACTGGCTGCCCATGCTCTGCGGGGAAGGCGTGGAGGGACTCGGAAGGCGCGTGAGCAGCGTGTCCAGAGTAGAATGGAGGCCAGATTGGAGGTGAGTGTGGAGGTCGATCTAAATCCGGCGATAGTTGTGGCTTGAGCAAAGAGTCACGGCGCATCCACGGTTCTGTCGCGTCGAGCTCCAAAATTTTGGCTTCGGAGTTAAGCTTAAATTTAGCGTCACCGCGCGACTTCCCCGCGTCGCCTGTCACGACTATCACTACTCAATGTATCCAGCGAGTATTCCAGATGCACATTGTCGTGAAACTAATGAATCGGCGCACAGAACGGTGCTCTCGATATACCAACATTAACATGCAGCAAACAACATCCAAAGCGTGCATAGTGGTTCTGCATAGACCAATGGGTGCGTGGCTGCCTGGAGAGGGCTGAGACTCCTGCTCCGCCTCACCGGCCCCTTGAACGCCTCATCCACACCCAAGTATCGTCTTTCCTTCTCCATCTCAATCGCGATATCTATCTCATTTCTCCCTACGTATTTTCCCTTGACATTTCTTCGCACGCTCGAGAACGTACACCATGGGCAGACCTTCCGACCCCCCACCCAGCTACCGCGACGACCCTGACGCCGTCTCACTGCACACCACCCCGGACGATTACACATACGACGATGCGCCCGAGATCTCCGGGCTTCCGCCCTCCTACACCGACAGCGAAGCAGGTACCAGCAATGTACCCGCATCCTCGATCCCCATCCACCACATCGCGCCCCCAACCACATCAACGAACCACGCCAAACCCTCTTTCAAGAACGGAAACCCCGTCGTAAACACCACGATAAACGTCCAAGACCCGCTCTACGACAACGACCCCGCCGCTCTCGAAAACTCCATCCGCCTCCTCGCCGAAGCCGCCCCAACACCCCTCATCTACATAATGGGCACGCACCGCGAAACCACCAAGAAGAATAACGAGACCAAGTCGCGCACCATAACCGACTTCCGGCTCGTGATAAACCTGTCCAAATACATCCATGCGCACTACATTGCCAACAACTTCGGCACCATGTCCCTCACGACGGCTGAGAATAGCGAGAAAACGCACCGTGGCACGATTCTCAAATGCAGGGCACCAGGCGCGAAACAAGATATTGAAGTTGGTGGTGCTCAGAAACCGGGCTTGACGGAATGGTGCCATAGATACTGCGCCTCCCCACGCGCACTTCGTATCTTCCGTGTGCGACGCGACGTCACGGGTCTGGACGAAGCATACCTGCGCAGCCGCATCGAAGGCATAATCCGATCTACAAACTACCGCGGCAACATCTCCATAACCTTCCCCGTCGAAGACGCAAATGTCGATTTCTACACTTCGCACCGTGTGAATGCTTGGAGGCTGAAGACATGGGTGCGATGGATCTTCTACTTGACGTTCCTGTGGATATTCAGTTGGCCTATCTTGTTCTTCGCGACGCGGCGCTGGAGCGTTGTTAGAGCCGAATGGCCGTTTTCGCGAACGAATACTATGGGTAGGAAGGAGTATACGACTGTTAGTGAGGAGGAGTGGATGGGTGAGTGGCATGTGGCGATTAGGAGACTGGTGTTGGAGAGATATGAAGGCGAGGCGAGTGAGGAGATGATGAGGGCAGTTATGCAGAGGAGTGAGGATCCGCCTGTGCCTGGGACGTTTAGGAGTGGGCATGTAGGTGTGGACAATGCGGTGGGTGTCCTCACGCAGGGCTTCCAGGTTGCGA